AAAAAAAAATAAAATAAAAAGAAGACATTTTTCACATTAATTTTCACATTTTTCCTTTATGGTCTTCTCTAATTTGTTCAAAATCCCATCCTCAGCCACCTTCCCTCTTTCATTTATGTTTCCACCGCGGTTCGGACATGCAAGTCGGAATGCTCCTAGACTACCCAATCCTAGTGTTGTAAACGAATTGACCCGAATCGAGCTTGGCTGTTCGAGCTCGTGTTTGTTTATGTTCGAACAGTGTTCATGTTTGTTCGTTTATTTTTCGAGCAAAAAATCAAAGTTCGAGTTCGAATAATTTAATACGTAAATTTTTTTAATATGTTTGATTAACTTGAAAATAAAAGAATAAAAATAAAAGTATCTTTATATTTCATATTTTAATTAAAAATTTTATGTAAATATATAAAAAAATAAATAAAATTATATTAAATTTTAGATACCTTATTAAAAATATTATGCAAATATATAAAAAAAATAAAATAAAATTATATTAAATTAACGTTCGCGAACATAATCGAATGTTCACGATCGAGCTCGTGTTCGTCGATTATTAAACGAGCTCAATTTTCTATTCGAATCCGGCTAGATTAACAACGAACGAGCTTTTGTTAAACACGAACGAGCTTTTGTTTCGCGTCTACCCAACCCGAACTCAAACCCTAAGCCTATGTTTGGTTCACGGGAGGGGAGGGAATTTAATGGAAGGGAGGGGAGGGGAGGGAAAGGGAGGGAAAATAATTTACCTTGTTTGGATGGATTTTGTAGAGGGGGAGGTGAAGGAAAATGATTAACCTTGTTTGGTTAGAAGATGGAGGGGGGGGGGAAATAATGTTAGAATGACAAATATATCCTTAATGATGTAAGAAAAAAAATAAAATAATTCATAATAAAGTCAAAAGAGTAATTTGATGTTAAAAATTTTCCCTCCCCTCCAAATTCCCTCACTTTTGGAGAGATGTGTATTTTCCCTCCTCCAAGGGATTTGAAGGGAAAATCTTAATCTCTCCCCTTACTTAAAATCGAACCAAGGGAAAACTAAAAATTTCCCTCCCCTCCCTTCCCCTCCCCTCCGTTTCCTCCGAACCAAACAAAGCCTAACCGGATCTGAATACGAACCCAATTCGGACACCCTAATCGCAAGATTGGAGCTGGAGGTTTTCTGGTTTGTTTCTCTTTGCCCTAATCGATTTTTCAGCTATACCTTTCATAGCACAAAAATGCTACGGTTTTCAAGTTTGTTTAGCAAGTTTTTATTCATCTCTACAAATTAACCCCACAAATTTATTGGGGAACGTTTTCCAGATTTTCGTGTGCTTAGCTGGTTAGTTTTTTTATGCCCCTTTTCTCCATTAGCAATTAAGATTGTATTATTGTTCTGTGAATGTTAGGGATAAATGCCTCTTAAATTATACAGGGTTTTGTGTAGTTAGCTGGTTAGATTTTATATGTCCTTTTTCTCCATTTGCCAAATTGTATTCTTATTCTGTGACTGCCATTGCTAAAAGAAAGCCTGTTAAATTATGCAGGATTTGGGTTTGAAGCAGCAAAAGTTAGGGTCTTGTAAAAACCCGGATACCTTTTGTTGAATTTACATGGAGGAATCAAGACGATCGCGTGGAAAGTGCCAAAAGAATTCGTGTAGAGAGGAAAATATGATTTCATCAGTCGATAGGCTTAGCAACTTGCCGGACGGCATCATATGCCACATTCTCTCTTTCCTCCCGACAAAGCTCTCAGTGGCGACCAGTGTTCTAGGAAAAAGATGGAGGTTTTTGTGGACGCACGTCCCCTGTTTGGACTTCAGCGGAAACAAGTTAACCGGCGAAACAGAGCATTCGGACATCATCAATCGATTCATTTTGCTCCATGAGGCGAAGAGAATGAATACTTTTAGGCTTAGGTCAGTGAACTGCAACGAGTATCAACTGGAGACATGGATTAGTGCTGCCATCAAGCGTAGTATCCGGAATCTTTATCTTGATCTTAATCTGTTTCGGAACAGGTTAATGCTCCCGCGTCCCGTATCCACCTGCAAAACCATTGTTGATATGAGAATTTTCGGAGGTAAATGTATCTCGTCAAGTGTACATTTGCCTAGCCTAAGAAAGCTTGTTCTTCATTTTGTTGAGTTTGAGGATGATGAAGCCCTTCCTCACTTGCTTTCCGGCTGTCCTTTTCTCAAGGAGTTGACCATGACATACAGTTTTATAGATAATGAAAAAAAACTAGGCTGCGTTAATATATCTTCACCCTCGTTGGAAACACTTACGGTTGATCTTCTACATGATCATGAAGATTTCCCTGTCTATGGGATTGTATTAAATGCAAAGGCACTTAGATATCTCCATATGGGCAATTTTCCTTTGGGGCGCATCACAAATTCGACAACTATGACCTCCTTAGCTGAGGCGTTCATCTACTTTCGAGACGATTTCTACGTGTATATGAACAGGGACAGCCATTCCAACGTGGTGAAATTTCTTGATTGTCTTTGTAACGTCAAATGTCTAAAGATATCAAGTTATGGAGGCGAGGAGGTATGCCATAATTTTTCGACATGTCAATCTCTTCTAGAGCCTCCATTCAGTTAATTTATGTGGTTCTAAGTTGATTTTTCATTCGCAGGTTCTCCCATTAGGATTTGCTGGCTCATTAGTAAAATTCAGTAATTTAACCAAACTTGAACTCCAAGCGAGTGCTAGATGGCATTTGCTTGTACATTTACTTGAAGTTGCTGATAATCTTGAAGCCCTTATTGTAAGTGAAGTTTGCTAATCTTATTAAATTATTGTTCTTTTGCTCTTTCTTTCCTTTCTCACAGCAATGGCCTTTTTTTTGGGGTCATCAGATTGAAATAGAAACGATATCCTTTATGGAGCCCAATCAAGTGCCAACGTGCCTATTATCAAGTCTCAGAACTATAACAATTAAGGTAAAGGTAATGTGTATTGGAGAGGATGTATTTAACATTGTCAGGTATCTCTTGAAGAATTCTCAAGTACTGGAGGATATAACAATATTACCCCTTGATGAGGATTCGATTTCAAGTGTAAGCGAAGGCAATTTAAAGGTAGCATTCGATGCACTTCAGAGAATCTCATTGTTTGAGCGAGGATCGGTGACATGTCAGCTTGCCTTCTATTTAGGTTGTTAAACGGACGGTTGAACTAAGCGAGAGTTTTGGCACAGTGATCATAAGTTGTTCCTTGAAAAGTTGTACTAACTGTGCTTATTTGTTATTTGTTTTGTACTGTTTTGCAATGAGGAGAAATTAAGTATGTTTTGATGATGATTTATAAACTCGTTAAGTATTATATCAACTGCTGAAGGGAATTAGTTGACCTCTTCTTTGGACTTGGTACTATTTAGTATTTACTAGGGTTGTTAAAGAACAGAATGGTCGCGAGCAGAGCTAATTCGAGCTTGTTCGTGTTCAACAAGAGATCATTTGTTTGTTAATCGAGTCGAGACATAAAATTAGGCTTGTTTAATTGTGGAACGTACGCAAACTTGTTCTGGAACGTTCGTGAAAATTATTCGAAAAAGTTTGTTAACTAAAATTTGTTAAGCACTTACAAGCTCGCAATTTGAAGAACAGTTAAAAAAACATGCTCGTACATGATTTAGCTCGTAAAATAAAAGTACGGACAAGATTGGTGTTCGTACATAATCTAATACGTGCTTGAAATGCTTAAGTTTGGCTCGTCAGTCGTCACAAAATATAAAATTTAGTTAAATTTGGACTTGTCATAAATAAATTATCAAGATTACCAGTTCTTCACAAAAAAATTGTAAATTTCTAATTACTAAAACATACATGTCGAGTTGTGTTAATGTTGCCTTGCTTAGACATGCCAAAACACGGGTCAAGCCTGGGCCCAGGCCCGGCTAGCCGACAGACTGGGTTTCGTGGACCTTGAACCGGCACGTACCTAGGTCGTGCCGGGTCCATGGCGGGCCGAGCTAGGCCCGACCAAAAAATAAAAAAAATAAATAAATAAGAAATAAAATCAAAAGCATGTGATTTTTCGGGCTAAGGTCGACAAAACATGGCCCTGGACCGGTCCGGTTAAAATTCGAGCCGAACCCAGACCCGAACCATTGGTCAACGGGCTTGACTGGGCCGGGTCAGTGCGGGGCTGGCGAGCCAGTTGGCCCGTGGCCACTCTAGCCTTGCCCCTCCACAACCATTTCCACATTATTCATACATGGCTCGAGCTCGAAACAGAGCGTGATCATTAATGAGTTGGGCTCGGCTCCATTCAGCTCGACTCAAAATTTGACTTTTCTATATATCTACTTTTTTCATATTTTAGCTTGTTAAAGTTCTAACTTGGTTATAGATAGGCTGCGGAAGCAAAGTAGCAAACACGGAAGTACATACATTTTTCACAATTTTCCTTTCTCGTCTTCTCTAATTTGTTCAAAATCACATCCTCAGCCGCCTTCCCTCTTTCATTTCTGTTTCCACCGCCAAGACTTTCCGAACCGGGACCCGAACCCGAACCCTAACAAATCTGAATACGAACCCAAGTCGGACCTGAATCCCATGGTTGGAGCTGGAGGTTTTCTGGTTTGGTTCTCTTTGCCCTAATCGAATTTTCAGCTATACCTTTCATAGCACAAAATTGCTACTGTTTTCAAGTCTGTTTAGCAAGTTTTTATTCATCTCTACAAATTAACCCCACAAATTAACTGGGCAGCCTTTTTTCAGATTTTTGTAGGGTCAGCTGGTTAGGTTTTTGATGTCCCTTTTCTCCATTAGCCATATTGATTTTATTATTGTTCTGTAAATGCTATGGATTAACGCCTCTTAAATTACGCAGGGTTTTGTGGTTTTGAAGTAGGGAAAGTTCGGAGCTTGTGAAAACCAGGATACCCGCCGTCGAATTTACATGGAGGAATCAAGACGATCGAGTGGAAAGTGCCGAAAGATTTCGGATAGTTAACTGGTCATCAGCGAAACTTCGATAGAAAGGGGAGCATTTTCACATTTTTGAATTATCACATGAACCGAACGGTTCAAACCCAAACCCGGACCCATGTCGGGCCCTCGCGTGAGCCTTGACTAGAGATTTCAAGGTTTTACTCCCTTTGGCTTAGTTCAATAGCAACACAAATGCTACCCTTTTTCAAGTTTCTTCATCGTCTCGACAAATTAACCCGACAAGTTAACTGGTCGTGAGTGAAACATAGCCTTTCAGGTTTTCTTGCAGTTAGTTTTTTGCCATATTGATTGTATGAGTATCCAGTCTGTGCCATTGATGATACAACCTCTTAATTTACAAATGATTTTGCAGTTTGAAGTAGTGGAATTTAAAGGCTGAGCCGAATGCCCTTCTGTCGAATTCACACAAGGAGGAATCAAGACAATTGAGTGGAAAGTGCCAAAAGATTTCGGGTAGAGGGCAAAATATGATATCATCAGTCGATAGGCTTAGCAGCTTGCCGGACGACGTCATATGCCACATTCTCTCTTTCCTCCCGACAAAGCTCTCAGTGGCGACCAGTGTTCTCGGAAGAAGATGGAGATTTTTGTGGGCTCACGTTCCTTGCTTTGATTTCGGGGCGAAAGATTTCACCGGCAAAACAGAACATTCGGACATCATCCATAGATTCATTTTGCGCCACGAGGCGAAGAGAATGAATACTTTTAGGCTCAGTTTAGTGAACTGCAACGAATATCAACTGGAGACATGGATTAGTGTTGCCATCAAGCGTAATATCTTGAATCTTGATCTGGGTCTTAATGTGTTTAGGTTAATTCTCCCGCGTCCCCTCTTCACCTGCAAAACCATTGTTGATATGAGAATTTTCGGAGGTAAATATGTCTCGTCAAGTGGGGACATACATTTGCCTTGCCTCAAAAAGCTTGTTCTTCATCTCGTTGAGTTTGAAGATGATGAATCCCTTCCTCGCTTGCTTTCTGGCTGTCCTTTGCTCAAAGAATTGACCATGTCTTATAGTTTTATATTGAATGAAAAAAGACTAGGCTGCATTAATATATCTTCACCCTCGTTAGAAACACTTACGATCGATTTTAATAATTACGAAGATTTCCCTGTGTATGAAATTTTAATAAATGCAAAGGCACTTAGATATCTCTATATGGGTGATTGTCCTTTGGGGTTCATCACAAATTCGACAACTATGAGCTCTTTAGCTGAGGCGTGCATTTGCTTTCAATACGGTTTCTTTGTGTACATGAACAGCGAGAGCTATTCCAATGTGGTGAAATTTCTTGATTGTCTTTGTAATGTGAAATGTCTACAGATATCAAGTTATGGAGGCAAGGAGGTATGCCATAATTTTTCAATATCTCAATCTCTTCTAGAGCCTCCATTCAATTAATTTTTGTGGTTCTAAATTGATTTTTTCGTTCGCAGGTTCTCCCATTAGGATTTGCTGGCTCACTAGTAAAATTTGTTAATTTAACCAAACTTGAACTCCAATCGAGTGCTGGATGGCATTTGCTTGTACATTTACTTGAAGTTGCTGATAATCTTGAAGCCCTTGTTGTAAGTGGAGTTTGCTAATCTAATTAAATTGTTGTTCTTTTGCTCTTTCTCTCCTTTCTCACAGCAATGGCCTTTTATTTTTTATTTTTTTGGTCATCAGATTGAAATAGAATTGATATCCTTTACGGAGCCCAATCGAGTGCCAACATCCCTATTATCAAGTCTTAGAACTATAACAATTAAGGTAGTCTGTATTGGAGAGGATGAATTTAACGTTGTGAGGTATCTCTTGAAGAATTCTCATGTACTGGAGGAGATGAAAATATTAGCCCTAGATGATGATTCGATTCCAAGTGATTTAAGCGAAGGTGATTTAAACGTAGCATTCGATGCGCTTCAGAGAATCTCATTGTTTGAGCGAGGATCGGTGACATGTCAGCTTGCCTTTCAGGTTGTTGAACAGTTGAACTAAGTGTGTTTTGGCACAGTGATCATAAGTTGTTCCTTAAAAAGCTGTACTAACTGTGTTTATTTGTTACTTGTTTTGTTCTATTTTGCAATGACAGAGAAATTAAGTACGTTGTGATGATGATTCATAAAATTATAAGTGTTGTAATCAACTGCTGAAGGGAATTAGTTGACCTCCTCTTTGGATATGTAACTATTTACTAGGGACTTTTAATGAGCAGAATGATCATTAGAGCATCACCAATGCTTTAAGTCCAAAAATTATGTAGGCCACATAGGAAATAGACCTAGTCTAGAAAAATATAGGGAAATTTTTAGTCCTCCCATAAGATATACAAATATTTTCAAATTTACCTTCATACGAAAGTATTTTTAATTATACCTAATGAAGCTAATTTATTTATGAGATTGCATCAATAGCAGTTACAATATATATTCAACTTTCATCCCCTTTTTGTGGACTTGATTAAGAGAGAGAAAAGAAAAATAATAACTGATTCATTTATTAATTCCCTAATTCACGCAGGCAGTCGCCACGTAGTATATTTTGAGTTTATGTTAGTATATATTCAGTGTATGTTGCAATATATATAATTCACGCAGCTGTCAGGTGGTATATTTTGAGTTTATGTTAGTACATATTAAGTATATATGCTATAAAAAAAAGTCTTCCACAAAAAAATTTCATCTTTTTTTTTGTTTTTTTTTTTACTTTTATGCATAAAAGTATATAGAAACATATTATAACATTTACTTATATTCCATATACAAACAAATCTTCTAATATGTTGAACATATATTGAATATATACTCCATATACACACAACATATACTGAACAATAAAAAA